GCCGCCGCCAGTCGTGCTGTCGGCTGCATCGGCGAACAATCGCGCGCGCACTTTCTCTCTCTTTCTCTCTCGTCGGTCTATCTCTCTTCCTCTCCTCGCTGTCTCCTCTTCACCCCGTTCTCTTTGCTCCCTTGCCACCCAAGTTCGTTCTCCTTCTTCGTCGTTCTCCCAGTCGTCCTTTTCGCGTAGCGAGCGCAGTCGATCGCGCGGTGGCGCCGATCGCTGCATCCCGCGTGACGCGGTGATAATACCGTGATACGTGTTACAGACATGGTGACACAGTGAATGAACAGTGCGCGGATGGTCTCGTGAGATCTTTCGGTCGGGATAAGGGAGACGCAATCGGGTTCGATATGTGAGTCTGGAGGGATCAACCGATCGCGTTTCGGGATTCGCCTCGATGTGCAACCGTTTGATTTTCACTACCTGCTCTTCCCCCCTTTCTCTCATTCTGGCCGGCTCTTTTTCTCTCTCTCTCTCTTCGACGCACGTGTGTGCGCGAAAATGCGTGTCACGCATGATTTTTCTCACAGCTGGGAACCCGCTGGAAACCCGCTGGAACTTACGATTCCAATGGCCGCGCGATTCCGACCGCAATTTGCTACGCAACGTACGCCAACGAGCAACGATTGCGAAGGCAGTGCTTATGAAACTAGAATTTCTTTGTGTATTTTTCATTGTGGACAGCGTCGAGCTGCCTCATGACTACGTGAAAATAATTCATAATACCCATTCCGCGACGAGAAACTGCAGACTCAGTGCTTGTAAGGCACTCTTTCGAGGTTTTTTCTGCTCTATGTTCTTTAATATTTCATTTTTCAGCAAAAAATTTTCTGAACAAAATATATTTTTCCTGTTTCTCTTTTTTTTAGAATTTGGTTCTCCGCATAGCGCTTTTGCTCTTTTTTATACAGTTTCGCTCTTATAAATTTGTGTTTTAAAACTAATAAAAAATACAAGCCAGGTTACCTTAAAACAAAGAAAACATAATAAACTACCATTTATTGACTTTTTTCCGCGTGCCATCTTGCTTCCGTGTGTATTTCCAGTAGTCTATACTCTACACTTATACTATGGATTTTCCTTTGTCAGCTATATTATATCAATTTTATTATTTTCTTCAATTAACAACAACCAGTAATTTCAATAATGACAGCAATTATAACGTACCGTAATTTATTAAATGTGTACACAGCATTTGCAATTAATGAATTAATATATATCAATAATCAATATATTTTTTTATACCGGTGATCTAAATAGTTTTTACGGTCGTGTCTTCAATTTCGCGTCGTGAAAGCTACAAAATTCGCGAAGTGGAATTCGGGGTGATCCGAATGTGTCCAAGCCAGAGCGGCGCGTGCCAAAGATAGCGACCAAAGGAACGACGACTTCGTCGGGAACCGTGACCTGCCTTAGAAAGGTTCAGGACCGTACGAGATAAACGCCATTGCGATCACCTAATTGCCTAATTAATCATAGAAGCGTGAACCAACCTTTTACCGTCCCGAACGTTTATCGAGCGTGCCATTGTTGATCTTAAATTCTTAATTAATCTAGTGGCATTTAATCGTAGCTTCGTTGAAGTATACAGTCGTTATTTTTTATTCGTCAGAGTTTAGTACATTAATATATTATAATAATTTTGGTTTTACAAACTAATGATTATAAAATTTATAAAAATTATATTTAAAATTATGATACTCTGTTATTTCAGAATAATAACTATTTTGCAATTTATCTCTTTTTTTAACAACACTTCTATAATTATATGCAGAATGAGATTTACGCACTGTCAAAGGACGTGATTTATTACTTTTGCATTCGTCACGTTCATAAAGATTCAATATACATTTACGAGGGCGTGTCTCGCGCATAAAATGATGCTTCAAGATGCATCTCTAAGATGCGAGTAGGTTGAGACGATAGCGACGATCACGGCGTGAATTTTTCAGCGGGGCTTCGTCGCATATCCGAGAAAAATATACACGTTACCGCGAACAGGATAATAATAACTCATCCGCGTAGATGTGTGCGCGCTTCGACCGGCGCTCGTTAATACAAAATAGAAGATTTAGAATACGCTATTAATATCCTTGTAAGCAGTTCTCTTCGATTTCACGCAGTGTAACTTTTAATTTGATAAATTAATTTATGATTATTTTTGAGTAAT